AAATCTTTTAAAAATTTTCATATAGATATCGATATCAAGCGAGCTATAAAAATAGGCTATAACTACATCCATCAGATGCATTTCAAGCTTCTCATATATTGCCAAACTAATTAAATATTAAAATGTAATTGTATCTACTATAAGAGAATATGTCTCTTTATAATCAATACCAGGCTTTTAGGTAAAATCTTGTGTGACAAGTCGTGCTTTTATCTCATAATATCATTTTTCTCATTTTGTTTTCGCACAAATACATATTAATATCTCACTGATTTTACATCATTTAATATATAGACTACACGTTTAAAACTTTCATGTTTTACAAGTGAATTCAATTCTACTTTGATTGTGCCTTTCCACATTGACCAATCATTTCTATGTTTACATTCTTCAACAAATGTAAGTTCAAAATCCCCATTTTCTATCATAATATTGAACACTGCATTATATGCAAAAATATTATCAACGTTTGTATCATTCTGGTTTTATCTTTTTCCCGTTATGACATAATTTATTGAGATCTCTTCATTTTTATTGATTTCAGATACTTAAATTTCTTTTAGAGTTATGTCAAGGGTCTCTACTAGAGTTTTTATTTCCTCTTTTTGACCATCTTGAATATTTACTCTTTTCCTTTTTGAGGATTTTTATCTTTGAAATCAATTGATCTCCCACACTTCTGACGTGCCTTAAACTCATTAACAATAACAAATTATTTTACTGGGATATCAATTCTAACTAAAGTATTTGCATCTGATATACGAGATTTGGTTATTCTTTTTAGATTAGTGAATACATCTAACGCAACTGATTTGTTATATTTTGTAAATTAATTATCTTTTGGACTTCTTATTTACATTGATTTGTACGATGATCAAAATTAAATAATGATAATACATTTCAAGATATTTCCTTTTCTAACTACTTATTTTCTTCCCTTAATGTTGAAAAAATTGTTTCATCAAAATGACAATTAGCAAACATTGTCATGAATAAATCTCCTATTGAGAGTTCTAAATATTTAATTATAGATGGAGATTCATATCAAACATATATTCCTAACCTCCTTTGAGGACCCATCTTTGTGCATAATGGTAAAACAATTAGGATATATACAGCACATCCAAAAATTCTTAAATGAAAAATCTTTGACTCTTGATCATAAACCAATTATATATAGGAGAATTTATGATAACTTGTTAGCCTGATGCGTACAAGTACTGCTATATATAAAATGGCATGCCCCCTAAGTAAAAATGAAGAATTTAGTTTCCATAAGCAATGGCTTTACAATTAGTTGGAAATGTTTAATAAACAAATTATTAAAATCATAAAATATCTAAAGGATCCACATAATGGATATATAGATCCACATATATCACCTTGAATACGTTTAAAAACTGTAAGATATTTAGTCCCAACTTTAGTTAGTGATGGTCTCATAATTAATTTACCTTGAGAGCAATTAACACATGAAAATTCATTAGATGGAAAAATCTTTTGATTTTTCAATGGATAACCAAATGAATTTTTAATAATTTTTCACCACATTATTGATCCGAGATAGTCAAACCGATTATGCCAAACATTAAAATTATTAGTAAATTTCTAGTTACTATAACATGAGTTTCAATCATTGTAATTTTTATGTAATACATTCCAAAGGATAAAAGAGGTATTTTTTCCAATACACACTTTGTACTTGAGATAGAAGATATAATATAAAGGTATTCAGTGCCTCTTTCATTTATCATCTCAACATGATATCCGTTTAAACGAATATATTTAAAACTTAATAAATATCTTCAAAATTTAGTAGAAAATAATACATATTTTATTATAAACTTTATTGCTCTAAATAGTGAAATAGTGGCTCTTTCGGAGCTTTTAATTAATCTTGTACTACCAGATATTATATTCACATTAACTTCTTCTATTGTTAAGCGAAAAAAATATTTTTTTTCTTTAAATATAGTGTGCATTGTAAAACTCTCTATTAAACATATATTTTCATTATTAATATTAGATCTAACTAGATGAATATCCATATTTTCTTCAATAAAATGAGATGTATAGTAAAAAACTTCCAAGTTAACATAAAAGAATATTAAATATAAAATTTATTATTAAAACACATAAAAAAAATCTTCTTAATAAACTTATACCAAAACACATCAACAAACTATTTAAGAAATTTTATTTTTGGATTTCTATAACCAATCAGATAATCAATTCATCTTTCAAAGTTGGCAAAAAAAAATCAACAATATTTAAATGTGTTATATCAACTTGACTATCATCAAGAACAAAATTTGTTTCGATATGTTTTCTTTTATCTTTCAATCATGCTTGATAAAGTTCAAATATATTATATCAACTTGGCTATTATTTTGAACAAAATTTGTTTCGATATTTTTTCATTTATCTTTTAGTGATACTTAATAAAATTCAACAAAATTCAATAAGATGTTTTGACCTATGGCAAGTATGTTACCAATGACCCATAACAAACATTTTCTATATTCTTTTTATTTTGTCCATTTTTATCTTTTTCTTATATATCTTCATTATTCATCTATTTCTGGTGGTTAAATGTGTTCTTACTATTAGAATAATTATTAAAATAACCACCATGATATCAATAATTATAGCGACCTATTCCACGTTCACAGCTTTAATTATTAAATAATGTCTCAAATGATATCGCATTCACTTCAATGAATGGACGAGATTTATGATCTTTTACTAGTAGCTCGTTATTTTGTTCAACCACAGAATAACATGAAATCAAAACCAAATGCATTTTCAGATTACCCGAAGTATAATATTTTTCACTAGTTACAAAATCAATATCATACAAAGCCAATTATCATACAAAGTCAATTTAATATGTAAAATCTCATAGTATCAAAGATGGTTTTACATATGTTAAGTAAAATCATAGTCAAAATTTAGTAAATAAATCATACATTGAGCAAAGAGATAATATACATTTATGCATGGTCAATTCGATTTAATAAATCAATGGATAAAAAATGATGCATACTACATCATAGAAATTCACATCCAATTTAATAAATTAAGGGATAAAATATAATATATATATATATATATTACATGCAGTAAATTCATATTAAAATTGATTTTTAGATAATGAAAACACCAAAAAGATATTAAATCATTTACTTAGATTTGCTAAAATCAAAAATCAAATACCAACAGTTGAAATACTTTTTAAAACTTGAAAGAATTGAAATTTCGACTTTGAGATGACCATTGAAATCTTCTGAAGAATTAAAGAATTGTGTTGACAACGTATTATAAAATATAAACTAAAAAAATAACTTTAAAAAAAATAACCATATATAAAGAAAGTATTTACAGAAGTATTGAAATATGTATTACAAATGAAAAGAGAGATCTATTTATAGACTAATAACTAAGATAGAATTAACAAAATAAAAATAATACTAAGAGATTAGATTGATAGATTAAATTTTAATCTTAATCTAATCTAATTTACATTTAAATCTAAATATATATAACAAAATAGATATTTACACATAGATATACTTATTACAAAATCCAAAAATAAAAAATTTGATAAAAGTGAAATTTATTTAACTCCTACTATTAGTCTTGATTTTCAATAACAGAAAACATCCATTTCCGTTTCGCTAATAATTTCCCGCTGATTAATAGAGTGGGCCTGTTTGGGCCTTTCATTTCTTTGTAGAACAAGGCAGTGGTAGGCCGAAAGACCAAAATCTTGATCTGCGCGGAGCTCATTGCCTTCGTTCTCGGTTAAAACAATGAGTAGCATCTGAGTCTGTGAGAGCTTGGTTTAAATTTTCAAAATACAAATTTGATTTTGTGGGAAAATAAATGGCATCCATTGCTTCAATTCGAGAAATTACCCGTCGATTTCCGTCCGCTATCAAGAGGTTTGCTCCGTTTTTTCCTTTTCTTTTTAGTTTTCTCATCTTTGTTGCGGTTTAATTTCTTTTACCAATTATTACTATCAATTCGAGAGCCCAGAAACTATATGAATTTGAAGGAAAAAGAACATTTTGATTCTCAAGTTTTTGTCAGTTTTTCATTTCTGATGATTTTCTGAGAGCTCGTATCTGAAAGCTCCTAGTTGGACTATACTTCGGTGCTAATATTTACATGAAAATTTTCTTTTCTTTGCTGCTATTAACAGACAAAAGAGAAGAATTTTGCAAATCTAAGTAAAGTTATGTCCTTTATTGACATTGACAAGAGACGTAGCTCCTGGGGTTTATGGATGGACTATGATAAAACTCCTGTTTTCAGGAGTCTTTTGGCTTTTGCTTCTAAAGATGTCTGCGAAAAAGAAATACCATGTTTATAATACGACATTTCCTTGAAATAGAAATTTGGAACTGTATCTGTCATATTGAAGGACGTTGATGACAGATGTTCTTTTTTTTTTTTTAATTGCAGGGATTGTTTACTCAGGTTATGTTGTTTTGTTCGAAATGAGTCCTTTCTGTCTAGACAATGCCTTAATTGCATCACATTTGCAAACCAGAGAAGCTACAAGGCTGTGAGGCTGTCATTACCTGCTCCACATGTAGCCTCTCCTTTTGATTTTTCATTGCTATCAGAGCGAAACATATTTTGGCATCAGAACATTCTTTGCAAATGGCTATGTGCAAGAAATATGAGTAATGCATCAGTTGAGCTGAAAACAGATGAGGATGTTATCAGGTTTTCTTTTAGTAAGTCACTAGGTAGAGTTGGTTCTACATATGGCAAGGGGACGGCCAAAAGACACAAAATGTCTAAAAAGGCCAAACTCAATGAACTTCGTTTCTATCGTCTGAAGGCCAAAAAGAAGATGAACTCACCAAATCCAGAAGTTAGGATTAGATATAAACTTGAAAAGGTTAGATAGCTTCTTGTTTTAACTATAGTATATCTTTTGATTAAGAATTCTGTATCCTTTTGTTGGATCTGAGCTTTTCTGGTAACCTCACTAGTAAAGGAGAATGTTGTGATTGTGATATATAGCATGTGGAGGCCATTTTGGCATTTCTTCTTTTTCCTCTCTCTCTCTCTCTCTCTCTCTTGCTCTCTTTCTTCATGTTCATCTGAATTATTTAATAATCTGAACCTTTTTCCAAAAATTATTAGTTTGACTATTATCTTTATAAGCACTTCTCCTCAGGCCAAAAGAAAGGAAGCTTGGTTGGTTGAAAAGTTGATAAAATATGAGGTTCCCAGGGCCCCAGCCGAAGCATATGATCCTGAAATTTTAACTGAGGAAGAGAGACACTACCTAAAGCGTACTGGTGAGAAGAAAAAGAATTATGTTCAAGTTGGAAGACGAGGAGTATTTGGCGGTGTTGTTCTCAATATGCATCTCCATTGGAAAAATCATGAAACTGTAAAGGTCACTTGCAAGCCTTGCAAGCCAGGGCAGGTTCATGAATATGCTGAAGAACTTGCTCGACTTAGCAAAGGCATTGTGATTGACATAAAACCTAACAATGCTATAATATTCTATCGAGGAAAGAATTATGTGCAGCCAAAAATTATGTCTCCACCAGATACCCTATCTAAAAACAAAGTAATTTTTTTGCCTTTCTTTGATAATCTGTTTGTTACTTGTATATTAGAAATTTCTGAAATCTCCCTCCTTGAGAATTAAGTAGTGGTATTCTTTGTGTTTCACTTGTTTTAGTTCATCTGTGCTTGCATCAGCTCATGTAGCTACTAATGCATTGGGTCCTTTTTTTATCTGCATGTACTAAACAAGGGCTAGTTGGGCTCATTATGTGTTTGTAGAAACTTGATGCTTTAATGTTTATGACTGGAATTTAGGGCTGGTCTAGCAGCTTGGGACTTGTAATAGTTGGGGGTTTGTTTGTGCTACCATGGAAAGCACTTTATAGTTCTGCGCTCATTGTAATATATCTAAAGGTTTCACTCTTTATGAAGTTGTTTTCTGTTAAAAAGAATGCTGTAGCTTCTTCGTAGATGATTCTTTAGAGGGAGTTCAATTGTTCATCCCTCTTTTATTTCAATACATGATGTCAATATAATATTTCTTTTCCTATTCAAATATTGCAGGCTTTGGAAAAATACAAATACGAACAATCCCTTGATCATACAAGTAATTTCATTGAGAAGTTGGAGAAGGAGCTGGAAGAGTATCTCGAGCATAAAGCTCGATATAAGAAGGGAAAAGAGAGTGCACCACAGGATTTCCTGGTAATATGACAGCATGAATTACAAATAATTGCCAAATTTCAGTTTCCTGAAAGTGTGATTATGAGTAGGTATAGTTGCTAAGTATTGTATGTTGCTGCAGTTATATATTGAAAATCCCTATTGAAAGATACCTGATCTGAATATATGTGCATGGCATCTATCTGGTTGTGTTGTATGGGGACAAGTGATACCTTCTTTTTTCTGTGTTATTGTTATTGGTGAAACTTGGTAACAATCAGGGATAAAGATCTTAGAATATTGCAAATGATGACCTCAAAAAATTGTTTCAGTTTCTTTAAAAAGAACAAGAAAAACAGTAAATGGTTGCAAAACATACCTGCAATTTAAATGGATGTTGCATATCCTTGTCAAATACACAAGTTTGGAGGTTTTCAAGATTTAAATTAGAAGTTTCTCAAATATATATAAATTAGAAATGCACTGCCGGGATCATGATCTTTGAAGACTTCATCATAAAATTGATCAGTAACTTAGTTCTTTCTGTGTTGAAGCTAAGAACATACTGGCTGAACCTGCCTTGAAGCGTATGCAATGACGTGGTCAGCAAAAATGCACTGTTTGGGAGACAATGGTTTTGCATTGTCATTAAGTATCTTTTAGTTCTCATTCTCAGGAGACATGTTGCATGCCAATTCAAAGAGACTTGTTTAGTTTACTCATTTATTAGTGACCAATGCCATGTGCTATTTACATGGAGCCACTATTTATATTGACTAAAGAACCATGAAATTCTACACCTACAGTTACTGCCAAAGGCTTATTGGTTTCTCTTTGCTTTGACTGCAAATGTGAGGAAAATGGTTGAGCTTATGGATTCTATTCTTCTAGATTATGACTCCTGGTGGTGTTGTCTCATTGGCCTTTGGTATCAGCCGGGGCTGAAATCTGTCAAGATATTCTCTTCTTCTGGTTGGTTGTTTTTCTTTAACTTGTCTGGTGTAGATTATAGCTCCCGTAAATTGTTTCGAATGTAATTGATATATTAATGATGTATAAAGGTTAATGATTACAAGAACCATGAATCTGTTTATTCAGCTCAATGCCTTTTGTTCTTTGATCAAGGCTTGTCTATTTTGATGCAGGATGATAATGGATGCAACCCAACTTTGAGTTAAATAGTCATCTTCTTGGCTGGATGATACTGAGTGGCTGAAAGGATGATTGTGGTTTATTTGGGTCCATGAGATTAGACACATTACACAAGCGCTAAGCATTTGATCAACTACATCAAATGCATGTGAGCGTGCAGGCGTGAAATACGCTAATCCTGGCTACAGGTGGCTTTCATTGCCATTGGAATTATATCTGATGATAGTTGCTGGACACACCACTTGATTTGGGAACCTCCCAATTGCATCAGTGCACTGCTTTTAGATGGTCTAACAACTGAGAACCAGCCATGGGTAAGGAAAAGCCCCTTATATCTGACATCTAAGAACCTCTTCCATCTTGTTTACGCATTGTACAAATTGAAATAAACAATTTTGTATATGGATTATTGAAATCATCTTCTCAGTCGCTGCTGTAAGAGTGCTTTTTTGTGAAGCTTTTCCCAGTGTAGTTATAAATAAGGTGGCTGAAAGAGCAGGATGCACTAAGGATGATTATAAATTTTTTTTTTTCTGAATAATCTTTTACGCTGTTGTTCCATCATAGAAAGCTTTCACCCATGGTGCTGTGCAATTAAGTGTAAAGCTTTGTTAACCTTTTGACATTTTATATTTTCAATTTAATGAAGTTGTAGCTTCACCATGATTTCGACCCAAGTTGGTGCTGAATTTTTTCTTACCTAATTGCTCTTTTACTTGTAGTGCTTTGTGTCATGCGCTCTGCATCGACCAGATTTTCTTGATTTCTCTATGAATTCATTGAATCAACCCCAGTAGTAACTCCTCAATTGCAGGGGATTAAAGAGAAATCCTTTCCATCCATTTTTCTCTAAATTTAAATATTATCAAATAGACAAGAGAAAAATCCATTACCAGTCAAGTCATTTCAGGATGTATGGAATCAATGAATGAGCCGCAATGTGTGATGAGCACCAAGCAAGAAGCCTTCTTTCACCCTAAAAAGACTGATAAAACAGCATGTAACATTTGATATCGTTGAGAGTTGTTCACAACAAAAAGATACTCTTTGACTTTTGCTTCCATTAATCATAACAAAGTGCAAGTCAGCGGTAAAGGAAGTAAGCTGGCACGAGAAAGTGAAGGGTAGCAAAAGGAGTATGGTTGATATTGGAATTGAGTATATGTTCCTTCCTGTTGTTCCTCCACTTTGGACGTGGTTATTGCTTTCTCCCCCGCTTTCTTTCTCTGTAAGCCAAAAGCGGAACCAAACTTAATTATTCCTCGCAAACAAATTAGCCCTATAAAAATGGTCTCATGGCGTCTTCTTCTCTTGCATACTCGGAAGCCTCTCTTGAGATGGGCAGTAGTTCCACTCAAACCTCCAGACAGTATGAGCAAGATTGCCACATCCTTCACTGTTACTTCTCTGGTATTCGACCTTTTTTTGGTTTTTTTTGCTTTTCCTCTGGCTGTTTGTTGTAAGGACACACCGGCTTTAGTTGTCACGGGAACAAAAATAATTGTGTAGAGAACCCCATTGCATCTGCAACAAACACACAAATTATGTTACTATAATCTTACAATTCTTGACTCTTATCATGTTGTTCTCAATATAAATTATTTAACAGGCAATGGAGCAATCAGCAACCAAAAACTTGTTCAAATTTTTGTCAATAGAGACTCAAATACGCTCAAGCTTCTCCGCCAGACTTACAGTGTTCGATATGGCCGAGATCTTCTTCAGTTCATGTCAAATGCTCAGAGGAATAACTCCCTTGCTGTAAGTATAACTCCCAAGTTACTCCAAAAGTTGCATGCGTTTGGATGATTTGGCTGTGCTGATAGAGGCATGCCATTGGTGTAGAGGATAGCTTATCTCCGCATGGTTGAACCACATGAACGCGATGCTCAGATGATAAGGCATTCGTTGTTCGGAGGGAGTCTAAACCTCAATATCATCATTGAGGTGGCTTGCACCAGACCATCTTCAGAGCTGCTACAAATCAAGCATGCCTACCAAAGTCGATATAATTCTGACCTTGAAAAGGATTTAACAATGAGAGTCAATGGTGGATTCAAAGAGGTAACTTTTAGGTGCTAGCTATCTCAAAATTGACTCATTTTTGTTTGTATCATTGTGAATTTGTTATGGCCTCTAGAAGACTAGAACTATTGTTTTTTCCTTCTGCTTTTTCTCTGTGCTTAGATTCTGCTGGCTGTTCTGAAGTCGTGTCGCAATTATGGATGTAAAGCAGACATGAGCCTGGCCATGTGTGATGCCAAGACTCTGTATGAAGCTATGGAAAGTGGGAAAAGCATAGATCAGAAGACAATAACTTCAGTTCTGAGTCAAAGGAACATTGGGCAAGTAAGAGCCATACTAAGCTCCTACAAGCAGCTGTATGGCCATGAATTCGGCAAGTCGATTAAGAGAAGCAAATGTGGGCAATTTGGGAAGGAACTTCGGGTCGTAATACGGTGTATCCAACATCCCGAGAAGTTTTTTGCAAAACAACTGAGGATGAAAAATGCGGATGGTCGAGAGATTCTGATTCGAACAGTAGTTACCAGGTCGGGGATAGATATCAAAGGGATAAACAGAGCTTTTGTAGCTAAAACAGGCAGCTCTCTGGAAAACCTTGTTATGCGGGAATTTAACAACAGTAAGGACAAGACAAACGACATTGTAGTCGGTATCTTGGTCGGGCTTATCAAAGGTTGAATATGAAGCAGGAATCATGGCAGATTTGGTTCATAAATAATTGACTTGTTTATACAAATAAAGATGGCATCATGGTTTCTAATTTAAATTCCTTGTAATTATGCATTGGATTTGTAGTTGTTAAGGGAAGCTTCTTGCGCCATGCATAAACCAAGATTCATGTCTGCACGTCCTTGGTGAGTACATGTATAAACAAGATTCGAAAGGGTATATGCCCTTATGATCTGTATTCACTTTTTTCCTTACCTTATCTATTCTTTTTCTCTACTTTTGAAATAGAGTTCTTGTAATCATAAGCAGCTTGATCACTTCCTCACTTATCTGAGCTGGCAACGTTAGGCTCTCATTTAGTAAGGTACAGACAAATCTAGAAGAGATCATTACTAGGAAAAAGCCTTTTGCAAAAACAGGCTAAGCTTTGGATGAGGTGACAACGCAGACAGGTAGTTTTTATGAACCTTTCAAGTGGCTAAATACCGGCGATTGGACTACCTTAGAATATTACCAGGAAAACGATTTAGCTTTAATTACTAAGTAAACATGTAACGACTGGCTCAGTCTCGATGGGACAATGAAGCGAACCCAACAGATGGGAGCAACTAGCAAGCAATGAGAAGACACGGGGAAACTTCGTTTTTTAAGTGGTTGACTTATATCACGAAGAATAATGTTCCACATCATAAAACCCTTGGAACAATAGACAGTTCAGTCCCACAATTCTCAACTGCATAAATGTTGTAACTCGTCGAACTTAACTAAGACCAAAGCACCTTCACCAAGTTTATTCACGGGAACAATTGAAAATTACTCATTACCTATCTAGGTATTAGAATAACAACCAATAGTCCTCACAATATCAGAAGATTACGGGCAGTTTCTCATTCATTGACAGTCCCATCCTCTGGTTGAGTGCTCCCTCCATCTACATAATGGCATGATCAATTGAAATGATTATGTAGCAGCAAAAAAACAGGAGAATGTTGATGCAAAAAGAACATTTATCTCTAGGAGTTTGCTATGTCAATAACTAGGCATACCTTCACCATCCGCTGGGGCATAAGGAGACTTCCTATATCGTGTTTGTTGCTGTGTGGGCTAAAACACAGAGCAAAAATAATAAAATCATAAGCATCTTAAGAGAACTAAATAAATGTGTGAAAATAACTAATTCAGAGGAAACAAAAGAAGGATGTATGAACTATATGATTCATCACTATGATCCTAGAATCTAGACCATGTCAATATGAAGCTAATTCTTAAAGAAAATCAAAGACGCATCAAATCAGAAAATATTCAGCAGCCTTTACAAACACACATCGGAAAAATATTTTACAGGAAGAAAGCTGAACTGAGATGAATTTGTCATCCTCAAAACCCCTTTTTTCTCTCTTCCCCAAAAGTAAAGGGTCCAAAATTACAAACATGAACTGCAAAAAAGTTTCACTACAATGTCATTCTCGATACATCTTATATCAGAAGCCATAAGTTTTGCCCTTCAGAAAAACCTTCAGACAGATACTCAGCATAAAATACATGTCAAATTACTTATGTAGATGAAACAAGCTATAGAATTGTGTCAATATAGCACCAAAATAAACAATCCAAGGTAGTTGATGTATGTTAAAATTTAGGTCCTGTTAATGCAAATGCTAGATTATAAGACGTTTTTACATCATCTTCCCTTTCCCAACATAAATATAAAGCAAGTGAATTATAGAACCCAACGGAACACAATTGTTTGTCAACCTTTTATCGTTTGACAAAAATAAGCCACTTTGCTCCAGTAGTTAATGGCCTTAGTGGATCTACAATTGCAATACCTTTTGCTCCTCCAGACATGTAAAAGTTCTAGTAAAGCCAGTTCCCTATACTTTGATCCAATTGAGAGGCCTATGTGTGACCAAATTAAAGAGTCTGAATAAAGTAGATCATGTTGATTTAAACTTTTGACCGATTAGAGAATCCGACAAAAGTGGACTAGATTGATTTAAGTTTTCCTTTATAAAGTCTCATCCTGCAGCATTAGCAAAGGACAAGCTAGTCTATTGCTCTCACCCATCAGAGGAATTTACTACAATTCTTAAAATACATATTCAAGGTACAAAATTCTCAACATATGTTATCCACCAAATCTCGACCAAAATACGTTGTTCAAGGCAGTCAAATCTCATTACAAAAGAAGGGAATACTAAGGTAAACATGTTTACAAGAGTTAAATTAATACCTGCAGTTTGGGCCGGAGGGCTTCAAGTGGTCCTTTGGGCTTCTCAACACCTTGCTGTTAGTATCCAAGAACATAAAAAAATCGGAAACTTCAGCTTACTCTGGATTCATTAGCCTTGCCAAGCTAAAATAACACAAAAATAAAAACATAAAGATTAGTTGGGCAGGAGGGAATCTTTGAAGTACCTTTCCAAGTGCCCAATCAGCAGAATCAAAGTAGGCACGTTCATGGTCCTAGAAATCCAAATGAAAAACTTAGATAAGAATCATGCACAAAGCACGAAACCAAAAACATTACAATTTTCCCACAGAAATTACCTTCGAAATGAGTGGTGGTTTCTTGGGCATGATCCCTCCATATTTTTTCTTTATAACTGCCTCCTAAATAGACAAAAAAGACAGATCACTTCAACTGTAAGAGCTCCAGAGAAACAATATATATCCAGTACATTGCTAAGATCTTTAATCAATCAGTATCCCACAGTGAAGCAAGATAAGAACACGACCTCCTCTTGAGATGATGGCATGGATTTTCCAGACTCCTGTGTGACATTTACATCTACTTGTTCTTGCTCCTTGACATGCTCCATGCCTGACATTAGTTCCTTGCCCAACTAATAGCAGCTGCAGTAGCAAACAAGTGATTTGCATAAAAACTTCAGCAATGCGTACACTTTGACAGAGGATTTGGACCATAAAAGAAACTTCACCTGTTCCCATTTATATAGGGTTGGCAACGTAGAATAAGAATATAAATCTTAGTAAAACTGGGGGAAAATATCAGCCAAAAGGCTAAGGCACAAGCATGGGCAGCTTAAGTTAATGCATACTCTACTCAATATCAATTATTAGAATAACCATTTAAGCATTGGGCAACCGGCAACTCTTAGTTAACAAGCACTCAATGACAATTAAAGGAGATCACTTCACATTCACATTCAAAAAATGAGACAACGGAATCAAATTCAAAGAAAAAATTGTTGAGAAAAAACTGTATTCATTCAAAGAATTACTAACTTTCCAGGCTTGAAAAATACAAGTATCTCTAAGTATTACTTCTTGATGCATATACGTTATAAATCAAAAGCACTTATATAATTGAAATTATAATGAAAATCCCAAATGCCATATATTTACAATTTATAATTCACGCCAGAAATGAACAGCAGAAAATCATTACATTAAAATCCACATATGCTAGTAATAAAAAAAAAACACTAACAATTAAATTTAATTAATTTGACACAAACGAAATGAGATCCGTGCTTAAGCTAGCAAAATGAATTAAAAACCTAGTCAGATCGACACCTAATTGCCAATCAAACCAAAATTTATTTTCTAACTAATCAAAAAAGCCTACTGAAAAAACCAAAACCCTAGGTGCTAGTAGATTTAACAAAATCATAAGCAAATAAATGAGAATAAATTTTTGTAAAATTTAAAGATCAGGCAAAATTGGGAGATGACAAAGATAGGGTACCTGAATGATAACCACTCTGCGGAGATCGGAAATTCAAAGAAAAAGGTTTTCCCCAAGCCGTTTGATAAATATAAATATAAAAATATTTTTTGTGTAGTTGAAATTTTCGGTGGAGTTCTTTTGTTTTAAGGGAATTATGATAAGGGCATTGACTTTTTAGATTCTTCTATTTTTGGCACGACTGTTTGTTTCGAATTACTCACCGAACTGCACAATTGATCGTTTCGGGTTGTCTTTTGGGATTCAGATCAGGGGTGGCTAATTAAAGGGTAAATTCTACTCAAGTCCTTATATTTTGTACATAATTTAGATTGAATCCAATAGTTTAGAAATTGGGCAACTTGTCTCAAAAAATCAAATTAGTGCATCTAATAACTCTTGTCGTTAAAGCAATGTCATGATAATTTTTAAAGTAATCATATGTGTATCACATGATACTATAATAATCTTCATTTATTTAATTAAAAAAAAGGAAACTGTCGAACTTACAGTTAAAAGAGGAAATTTGCCCATCAAATCCTCAAGAAAGTTGAATTGATCTGCAACCTCTTCCCAAAATTGCTTAGGTCTTCTTGCTTGTGTTCTATTTAGCTAAAAATGAAGAAAATAAAAGGTGGAAATATGAGATTTTGATTAAGTGGAATTTAAGATATCAAAAGTTTATTCATCAAAAAAAAAAATCGAAATACAAGTGAATACTGGGAAAAAACAAGGACAATGTTGTGAACTTATTGAAAACAAAAGTAAGTTAGTTGTGAGTAGTTTAGTAATTGCCTAATTTATGTTAAGGGCATTTGTGTTTTTGGAATGATTATTTAGTTCTCAAATTAATGAATTCAATTTGAATTATGTTCAAAACTCAAGGACTTGAGTGAAATTTACCCTTAATTAAGGACTATGTGAAATTTTTTAAGTTAAGATACCTCTATCTTCTTAAATTTTAATCAAAATTTTAAATGTTTATTTTTAAAATAGACAATCGACTCTAAAAAAAAATCTTTCACTGGACACATTAACCAACCATTAGGGTTTTTATTAATTTGATGACATTATCATATATTAAAATTATAATTTTATTTTTTATTATTTTTAAAAATTATTATTATATAATTTTTATTAATTTAAAAAAATTAAAAAAACAATAAATCTGTGCTCCCAAAAAAGGGAGCATAGGGAGAAAGGAGCACCGAGATCTAGCGCTCCCCTCCCGAACGTTGCTCCCTTATCTCGGGGAGCATTGATTGGTGCTCTTTATATATATATTTTTAAAAAATATAATAATAATTTTTTAAAATTAATAAAAAAATGATATTTTAATTTGTTTTATAATCTCTATTAATGGTGTTTGCATTCTCGAGATGGAATGTCTATTTCAAAAATTAATGAACTTATTTGAAATTTTTATTAAAACTTAGAGTGAGAATATTTTATCTAAATTTTTAGTATATTTGTATGGCAATTCAAATCGAAAATTACTCACCTTTATATTAAGAAAAAAACAAACATTTAAAATCTAATTAGTATTAAAACTTGCAAACTGCTCTTTGTTGTTTACACTGATTTGAGTTGTAATAAAACGTCACAGTTTTTATTCTAGATTTTATCTTAATGGAAGAAAATTTTTAATTACGATTATTATGGTCTAAAAATTTACTTAACCTTTTAGTTTTGCAATAAAAGGACCAGTCTTATTTCCTTTTACATGCAAATGCATCTGAATAGTAATTTCATTTTCATAAAAACTATAATTTAGTATGCATAGTATCTAGTAAATATTGATTACTAAAAATAGAGACTTTAAAGACTTAAATAAGAACAATTTGGAATAATAGAAATATTGTAATTTGTCAAATTCTATAGACATAATATCTAAAAAAAATTTAAACTATTTAATTTTTATTTTTTATTATATTTAATCTAATTTTTATATTTTTATTTTAAATCAAATAAATTTTTATAATTAACTATTACTAACAATTATTAGTTAAAACATCATTTATCATTTTATATCATATTATATTATGTGATATGTTGACATGTTATAATGAATAATAATATACAGATTGATATGATATAATAACATGATTACGTAGTATTTTCATCTTCCACGTAAACGTCATATGAACTAAAAAATAACAAATAATGTTATAACTAATGACAATTAACTAATTTAAGTCATAAAAATTTATTTTGTCAAAATAAAAATATACATATTTGATTAAGTTACAAAAAATAAAAATTTATTTTAAAATTTTTGAAATAAATTATAAATTTCTTTAAGCATCCACTCAAAAAATCCAATGATACTTTTAATTGTTATGAACTAATTTAAAAAGGAAAAAAAGTAAAAGCAAAAGGTGAGGTTTATAAATAATACCCATTATTATTTAATTTAATCGTGCTTGAAAAGCAGTAAATATTTTTGAAAATGTTGGCGAATTAACCAATCGGGTTAGACTGGATTTGTTACTCCCACTGGTAATTCATTCATCGCTGAGGTTCTTGTTTCTTGTCGCTAGGATTTGCCTCTTTCTTAGTGCACTTTATGCATAAATATTGAAAAAAGAATTGTCATATAAATCTTATATTATTGAAAAATTGTATATTTATAGAAAACCTTAAATTATATTTGTTACAGAGGTAAATGATGTCACAATTCAAGAGTTCAGACAAATATAGGCAGGCTACACAAGTCCATAGATAACAACTGTAGCCCAGACAAACCAAATAATACGTTTAGCCCGCGCATGTAATTTGATTTAAATTTTGAGATTTAATTATATATATTTAAATTTAAATTATGTTATATTAAGATTAAGATTTTAATTTAATTTGAATAATTTTTTCAAATTAAATCTCTTATCATTATTCTCATCTTATAACTTAATTTTATCTAACAAGAGGGATTATCACCCTATAAATACTAATGCTTTCCAAAGAAAACCAAATCATTCTATTTCTCAAAAACTTTCTCTTTCATTATTTTGAGGGTTTTAAAACTTACCTCAGCTTTATCTTAAGCTTGATATAATTTTAATTAAACATTATAATATAATTAACTAATAATATTATATTATAATTTTCATTAAATAATTTAATAATTATTTGTTAAAATTAATGTGAAATACAAAAAAAAAAGAGAAAAACATATTAACTTACTTTGATATTAGTTTTAATTAAATACTCTCATTAAAACACAAAAGCAAGCTTTGAATGTGAAAAAAAAAGAGACATAGTGATAATAAAATTTATTTAGTGTTATAAATATATGTAAATATCCATTATATTTCATCATATCTAATTTATCTTTTTAAATTTAATTTACCTCATCATATCCAATGCATATATTTATGTGAGTACACTATTATCTTCTGTATCTATTTAGTATATGTACATTCTTATCTACTAAGTTCATCATCTTTATTTATGTAAATTCATTCTCCTTCCATCTATGTAAGTCTATAAATAAAGGTATTATAGTTAATGATATACACACTTAAAAAGAAATAAAAATAAAAAATCTTTTTATCTTTTTACTACTTCTCTTTAATTTTTTTAAAATTTTATTTTATAACACGCTATCAACATGCAATTCTAATTTTTAAGTTTTGATATCGCTCAGTTTTCATCATCATCTCAAAGTTAAAAGGCTATATTCTTCTAGGTAATTTTTCTTTCAAATTCAAGTGTCATTTTATTACTTTACTCATATTTTCAATCTATGATTAGTCAATTCCTTATTTTAAATTTTATTATCAATTGATTTTTATCTGTACTTATCGATAACAATATTTTATTTGTTATCTATTAATAGTTTTCACCATATCAAAATCTTACAGAAACTTGAATTTGTGGCTATCAATATTACTAGAAAAAATTATTTATCTTGAATTCTAGATACTGAAATTCATTTAAATGCTATGAGCCTTGGAAACACAATAAAAATGGTAAATGAAGCATCCAATCAGGATAAGGCAAAAGTAATAATTTTCCATGAAGACTTAAAAATTAAGTATTTTACAGTAAAAGATTCTATTTATCTTTGGGAAAGCCTAAAAGATAGATATAATTACCAGAAAACAGTAGTTCTTCCAAAAACTTGTTATAGTTTGATGCATTTACAATTGCAAGGATTTATATCCGCAAGTGAGTATATCTTAGAAATATTTAGAATTAGTTCACAATTAAAATTATGTGGAGAAAATGTTACTAATGAGGATATGTTAAAAAATATATTTTTTACTTTTTACACCTCAAACGTACTCCTACAATAACAATACCATGAGAGAGGCTTTAAAAAATATTTTGAACTAATTTCATGTCTTTTCATGGCTGAGCAAAATAACAAGTCACCTATGGAAAAATCATGAATCTCGTCTAACTGGTTTTACCTCATTTCTTAAGGTGAATGTAACATCACTTTATAATTATGGCCATGGCCAAGGTCATGGATGTGGACATGGAAGAAATTGTCATAATTTTTACAACCGTAGGTGTCCTAATAATCACTATTCTAATAACAAGAATACATTTAACCACTAAAAGTGAGTGAATAGTGGAAGAGATACAAGAAAATGATAAAAATAGATAGAATAAATACAGAAAATATCTGTTATTGATATGACATGAAAGGTCATTAGTCATGTACTTATCATACGTCAGAATATCTTATTGAACTTTATCAAGCATCATTAAAAAATAAAAAAAAATATCGAACAAATTTTGTTGAAAAAGATGTTAACTATGGCTAAGTTAATGTGACATATTTAGATGTTGCTGATTTTTTTGTCTACTTTAAAGGATGAATTGATCATCTGATTGATGATTCTATGATTGTTGATGGTAATGAAACTGTCCAAGAATGAAGTTTATTAATCAATTTGTTAATGTGTTTTAATATTACTTTATTAGGAAAATATATTTCTTTATGTTCTCGTTACATGTAAATGATATATTAATGTATTAAATTTTATATATAATGTTATTTTTTGTTAATTTGTAAATTTCTTATTATATATCTTGTTTTATTGAAGAAATATGGATATTCCTTTTGTTAATGTCAATACAATATCTAGTAGTATAAGAATAATTGAAGGCTCCAGAAGAGCTAATATTTCATTCACTAGAGGAACAAGAGTATAAT